TCTTTTGTTTCGGCCTAAAACAAAAAGAAAATCAATTGACAACGCGTCTCTTCTAATTACGGGTTACAAGCACGAGGCTTTCTTTTTGGGCTGTAGAAAAGCACAGCAATCGTGTCGTGCTGCAATCCCTTCAATCGGGCCTTTTCAGACCTTTTCAGAGCGCTCTATAGCTTTCCGATTGATGGGACAACCATTGAAAATATTATTCAGAGAGTTAACTAATTAATCATAATAATGACTAAACTAGGCTCACTTAACAAAGTACAGGTTCCTTCGCAAGACGATTGGTAACAAAATACGGCTGGTGTCGTTCGCGTAAGCGAGTTTTTTTATTTAAGCTTTCGCGTAACTTAATTGACACATGGTGTATAAGAATTTCATGTTTTTAAGCTATTTTTCATGGCCAAAACAGTCAAGGTGTACTACCTAGTATATTGAGAAAGATGTCAACCTCAATCGAACATTCGACGTTTTTTTTTTATAGGTTCAACATCCCTTACCGTGAAGTGAAGGGATTCACCGGGCTAGGCGTGCGTGTCCTGAGATTTCCATACGAGGTGCCCGACCGCGCAAGATGTAAACATTGCAACTGCATTCCGAAAAGAATATATCACCTTCTGTGCCCTCACCATGGCCTCTGTTTTGACTGCAAAAAACATTGCAATGGATATTATTGCGATGAATGTTGTGTAAACACAGCACCTGAACAAGTAAGCAGATTTGAATATTGTTGAAAGAGCGAGAGGGGAAGGGCAAGTTTATGACGAGGACTAAAAACTGGTTTATTTCTACAGAAGAACCGTTGTGTACCTTTGTTAAATAATATATTTCGCTAAGATTGTCTTCACCTGGAGCCTTTCCAAGAATCCTTACTCCACGTCCTAATTTTGATGAAGTGACGTAAAATTTGAGCGCAGCTCTTAGGCGCCCATTTCCGGCTTGAGCGGCGTCGCCGTATGCGTTTCCGGCTTTAGCGGCATCGCCATGATGCAACGCGCGTTGCATCATGGGACGTTTCTCATAATGGCATCACTTGTGACGTCACGGTGGTCACGAGTGACGTCACCGTGTGACATCACCCTCGTGACATCACACGGCGTATAAAGTTGGCGAAACATTTTTCCACTAAACTTAGCGGAGAAATTTCGTGTTTAAATTTAGCGGAAAATCTTGCGTCTAAATTTTTCGAAATGTTTCCGTGAAATCTAGCAAGCAATTGCTTTCCGCCAAGTTTAGCGGGCAATTTTTTGTGCTAAATTTAGCAGGAAAATTTCTCCATAAATTTTTGCCGCTAAATTTAGCGGAAAACGTTTCCCGCGAGATTAAACGGAAAATTTAGTGGAGCAATTTTTAGCGGGGGAATTTACCATGAAATTCTCCCACAATTTCTCAGTGAATTCTCCTCCGTACCCTTCCTTGTTCCACCTCAAGAGCTGCGCTCTAATTCGGCTTTACAGAGAATGGTAAACGTCTTTTATTTTCTGAAATTAAAATTAAAGACAGGTGGGCAAAATATTTGTGGTTTCTGTGAAAAAATTGAACCATTAGTTTTTTTTTCTGAGCAGATATGGTAAAATATTGAAAAATCCCAGTTTTGAACGCATTGGAACTTGGAACGATGATCTAGTTCTTTTAGTAGCTATGTTTTCCCATTCTTTTTGGCGGCGTTTGCCAGTTAAGGTAGGCTCTAGATAATAATGTTCAAAATACATTATGTTATTTGTTTATTTATGCTTTGCGAAATGTGCAGTTATAAAATAAACCTGATATATAAAGCGAGTTAAATAACATGAAATGATAGTCACTACTTTTGCGTCCTTACCATTTATAGTACGTTTATTTTCCTCCTGAAATACAAGTAAAGGTATAGGTAAATTCAGCCCCATGCTCGAGGTGGCGTTAGTGGGACGTCGGAAAGAGGCAGTATAACTTTGTTCTTCCTACATGCATCAGCGTGAGGAGCGGTCGGTTGCTCTGGCTGCTAGAAAGCTTTCCAAATACAGTAGTAGTGATCGTGATCCAGTTTTTTTTTAGTAAGCAATGCAAAAATACGCAACGCCTGATGATAACAGTTGTCTAACAAGAGTGAATCGAGGGCTCTGGTAGATTACAAACAAAAACGTTTGAATATAATATAGACATGAGCAGGGATGGGCAAAATACATGCAAATATGTATCGAAATACAAATAGAAAATACTTCGTCAAAAATGTATTTAATTACAAATCTCATTACATTTCCAAAAAAGCATTTAAGTACAAGATACAAATACAACCAAATGTATTTGGTCCCCTCCAAATACTTTTCCAAATACAGTCCTCAAAATTTGCGTCAGCGACTTCAGGGCACCTGCAACGGGTTTCTGGGTATCTCATTTTTATTTTGCGTCGCACACTCGGGAGTTAATGTGCGAGGCTCTAGTAACGTAATAGAAATATAATCACAAAAAAATTTAATAAGCTTGGACATAATAGGTGAAAAAAGTAGAGCTTCAAGCAGCTTTTTTTGTCGATTAGATTTTGGTATAGACCAACAAAGAACCGAGACGACCAAGACGCGCAGCACTAGCTAGAAACATTTTATTGTTGCAACTCGCACCAGTTACGAAAATCTGGACGACCCGCGCATTTAGAATGTTCCAGGCAAAAATATGGAAGGGAAATCAGGCTGGAAAGCATCACAACTTGTCACAGCCACTTATTTAGCCATCCTGCCTGTGAACGTCGATTTCGTCACTATTCTTGCCCTGGACTAGCACCGTAATCACAAAGTCGCTAAACGCTTGTGCTTGATTGAGAGACACTGCATTCGGTGCAGAACGTAGTTTTCTTCCTGTTCTGGACAGTGACAATAAACTTGAGGGATGTATTTTCGCCCACAAAATTGTATTTAATTACAATTGTATTTGAAATACCCACGTTTTAGTATTTAAATACACACGTCAAATACATTACCCATCTTGTAATTAAATACAAATGCAAAATACACGAAGTATTTGAAATACTGCCCATCCCTGGACATGAGTATAAACATAATGCCATAAACCACATTATAGCCCTTATCCAGCACAAAGAACGTTCCCATAAAATGATTATTTAAAGTTATGTTTACTTCCGCGAGCTTTTAGGGAGAGGAATATGCTGCACAAATTTGCTTGAATATATATTCAGATTAACCAATCGGGAGAATCGTGTTTTCGCCTGCACTGATTGACGTATTGCTCAGTTTGTTGTGTTGAAATGTCTAACTTTCTTTCAACAACAGCACGTTTTATTCAAATTGTCCTTGATTACTGTAGATGTAAGTATTTGCTCACGTTTTATCTTGTCATCTATTTCTAAGCGTGATCTACTGGGTGTACCAAGGGGAGGTCAGGCTCTTTAAATCGACCGCGAAATTTGGTTTTCTTAACCTATCGCGCTGCTATTTTCTGCAGCGTTGCCCAAAGATGGTGCCTTTGTTTTGTAAAATTTGCAAAGAGCGAACTTACCTGAGCAAAAAATAAAGAAAGAAAAAGGCTTAGCTCATATGGAAACGCAGCTACGCCAGAGGTCTTCAAACAACACGGCTCCGTTTCGCACGGGAGATAAGAGATGGCGCAAGCGGCCACGACGGCAATTGCCAGCAACTGCCGCCAACGAACGAGCATACGACGCTGAGAACCGGCGTAATTAGCAGACAAGCAACTGCAGTTCCTTGCTGTTACCGCGCCTGTTTTTGTTTCTGCGACTGTCGCCGCCTGGGGAATGCGCGCCGCTTTTGAGTCGAAAAGATCGTCTGCTATAAACGCCGGCTCTCGGCGCCTTATGCTCGTTCGTTGGCGGCGTTCGTTGAGCCATCTATTGTCTGCCGTGCGAAACGGCGCCGTGTTGTTTGAAGACCGGTGGCGTCGCTGCGTTTTCATAGGAGCTAAGCCTTTTTATTTCTTTACTTTTTCCTCAGGTACGTTCGCTCTTTGCAAATTTTACAAAAAAAAAAAAAGCACCATCTGTGGGCAGCGCTGCACAAAAACGTAGCGCGATAGGTTAAGAAACCGAATTTTGCGGTCCATTTAAAGAGCCTGGCCTCCCCTTGATACACCCAGTATTTTGCAGGTGTGTCATTTTGAAGGTATAATTTGTTTAACTGGCATTTTAATCTATCTATAATAGGGTATTTTGATTTGCGGCAGTATTAATGAACCAATAAAATTATTTTCAGCTTGGCGCAATCCGTTCTGATTTCAACCTTCCGGGTATACTTCAGCAAGTCCAATGTGACGTATGCCACAAGGTGCTTCTCCTTGGAAAGCTGGAGGTAGGGAAATATTAAACAGTGCGTTGTAACTCTATGGCGCGTCATGCTAATGACAGATATAAAATAACTGCGCTGCTAAATTGGCGAGTAGCGTCAGTGTTCGTCCAAAACTTGAACATTGTGGCACATTTGAAAAAAAAAATACAAAAAAAAGCGCCTAAGCCCTATGGGTTATCCTACTCTTGCGAACTTCTGGCTGGTGGCTGAATATTGAGTTGCCATTTTCTAAACTGGTATACTGTGAACAAGAACAAAACAATAAATGTTCCTTAAAATTATTTGCCAATACAAGGACCCAATCGCCTTTAGACAGTTTGTTGATGGTATTTATCAAAGTGATACAACACAATTATCCCCTTTTACATATAAGAGGATGAGTTTCTCCTATTGCCAACTTGCCAACTCCCCCCCCCCCCCTCCCCCTTTTCTTGCTGGATGCTAGAAGCCAGTGTCCAAGGTTAGGGGCCAGGGACAGCTATTGTTGTGAAGTAGTCACGTTTCGTCACATAGACTTTGTAAATTTTTTGCAATCTTGGGACACATACACTAAAATTCAGCCCATACATAAGCTTGAGCAGTTGCTGTAAATCAGTTAGATCATTCATGTGCCTTGTTTATAACGTTACAATGTAATTTAAACATAACTTGTCAACCATTTAGCTGAATCAGAAACATACCAAACAGCTATTAAAGCTCTCTAACAAAAAACAAAAACGAGCAGTGGTACAGCATGGTCTCCTATTACTTACTCACCTGCCCTTCGGTCAGTCTCCATACACAGCTGAGTATAATCATGAAACACGACCATGACTTCGAAATATATTCTAGCATCTCAATAACACTGTTTGCAACGCATCCATTTGAAATCTCGAATTTTTTTAGGAACACCTCTATGAGCACACTAATCAGGGTGACGTGGAGTGTTCGAAAGTTCAAGAAACGACAAATCAGGTAAGCGGTAATTTGAGATATGTTGACATATTAGAGTAAAATAATATAGTTAAGGGTTCTTGGCACTGGTTTAACGGACTGCCGCTCAGACTACAACGGCTTGAAATTCTCTTAATTTCTAGGACCGCAGCTATAGAAGTTCGGGAAACTAGAATTGCCATAAGACATGCCCAAACCCTGGACACGGAGCTCTGTTTGGACATAACAGATTTGAATTTTAAATTGTAATGCGCCACAACTACTCCTTAGTTTGAAAACTACAATAGATAAGGAATTGGATCTATCAAAGGAATTTGATAATAAATACTGAAGAAGAAAAAAAAAAACTAGCATTCTACATTTCTAGAACCATTTAACGAGAGTATTGAAGCTTATATCTTAAACAACACATCTTCAAAATAAAGCAATACTAGAAATTGGAGCAAAAGAACTCAACAGTAACAACAGAAAATGTGGAAAACAACGTACAAAACAAAAACAAAAATACGCTTTTGGTTTTTCGAGGTGCCTTGATTTTAAGCACCTCGTCTTTCAGAAAAATGAATATATAGTTTTATGATCCCGTTAAAAAAGTTAACATGTAAATGTGCGTAATGTTTATTGTGTATACACGCAAAGATCGAGAAAATAGAAAATGCTAAAAATCTTTAGCAAGTACAATAAGCGGCATTACACCTGTGAGCAATCGCCACCCCACCACGTTCTTTGTGCAATACCTATGTTCACTTTCCCCCTCTTGCGTACAAAAATTAGTGTTAGTACACTTAGCATGGAGGTCGATATCTTGGATAGTAAAAGTTCATTTAAACATGCCCAAAACATTCAGTTTTATTAAGGTCAGTATTTTTTTGTGCTTGTGTCATTTTGTTGCTTTAGTATGCTTAAAGAGAGTATCTGTGTGTACCAGCACTTCGGCTTCGGCGGTTACTGGACACAAGAAGAAAAAATAATACGTAATATTTTAAATGGGTGACGCTTTAAGCGTGGAGTGCCATTTCACTATGAATATATTACTTGGTCTTTATAATTTCGTATTAAAAAGATGCATCCCGATGCATTGCAAACGTTTCTTTGGGAAACAATTAAAATTAGTCCGATGACTCTTTTCTTTTTGTGTCCAGGAAACATCTGTATCCGAAAACAAGTTAAATATATATTTTGGCTGCTGTATTTTTTTTAGGTTTTTAGTTTGTATTATCTCAGTCGGTTCTTCGATGCCCAGTTTCTCATGTATCCTTCAGAGCTGAAATCTCTCTGCATACAAACCCAGTAATCGGGACGCCAATACAAAGAACCTGAAACTCTAGATGAGTCTTGCACACGTTTCTCGAAAAAAAGTAACTGATGGCGGTTACCATTACCCTTAGTTAAAAAAAGCAATTGGCAGTTGCTTGAATAGTAACTGGAGTTACTTTTCCGATGGCTTCAATTTTTCAAAATAACACATTTTTCTGCCGGTTTGATAAGGTTGTTCCGTGATGTCCATTATTAGATTAGAATCACCAAGTCACAAGAACACTGTTCTAGAAGGCGTTTAGGGGCAATAGTGGCGCACCCTCCGTGAGGCCTTCGAAGCGGATGCCGCCTTGTGGCGCTGGTGTAGTTTCCCTGAGCAGTCGAGCTGGCAAGATGGGGCGGCTGCTACTCGCTATCTAGTGACGTTACGTCCTATCTAGAGATCTGTTTAAGACAGCACACCATTTTATACACCGGTTTATAAGCTCTGCGGTCGTCAGACTGAACGAAAGAGTATTTCAAATGCTTGGAAGGTGTCATGTAGCGGCGATGAGTTTCTTTCTGTTTAACACGGCACAAGTGATAAGCTTGAAACTACACGCCTATGCCGCTACAAGAAAAGTAAACTATAGGCCATTGCTCAGTCAGCTCACTATTCAACAAAATGTAGCTCTAGAGATTCGAATGTTGTGTTATGATTCAGAACTGGAATTTATGAGTTATGACTACTCTCCAAAAACTATCAATGAAAAAATAACCCGTTCCTAGAAGCGGACGCTATTCACGCTTATACATTTTAGAAGCTTATACGCTCAGTTATAAAATCAGATCCCAACAGTTAGCTTTTCATTTCGACGTAGATTCGGGTTCGGTGATGCGCAGTTTATTACTGAGGCGAGAAAAAGATGCTTGGTATTTCTCTTCAGTTTATATCTGCTCGATAAATGAAAAGTTCTGATCCACCAAAATTATTTCAGTGTCATGTTTTTACTAGCAGACTGGTTTGGAAGTTGGGGAGATAAATGCAAGCTCGGCCTGGTTTCCTTAGCTGCTCACTGTTCATATATGCGGAAGTTTCTTAACGTTTGTGTTCTTCAGTTCTTGATATTCCACTGATCTATAGCCATTACTCCCAATAAAAACACCTCCTCATTTTGTTTGTCATAGCAAAAAAAAAAAAAATCCCTTACATGCTGTTTAACATAATAGTAACACAACAGGGTGAATAATAAAAATCAAGAAAATTTAAATCTTGATTTAAATAATTATTTAACTCTCCGAAATTTGGCTATAGAAATTTGAGTCGCTCCGATTTTGCTATAATAAACTAAATCAATCACTTTTTCACAAAACATTACTGAACACGTTTTTATTTACCGTTGTCATCAATGCGCTTCCCATCCGTGTTTATTTATTCACGAATTGTTTTACTGTCAGAGCAGTAAATAGTTATATAACGCCGCCATTAAAAATAGAGATCTAATGATAAAAAATTCAATAATTTTGAGCTGAAAATATTTGTTTCACGAAAGCTTGATTTTCAAAAAATCTGATTCATTTGATTAAAAATGATTCTTTCCTCTTTTCCACCATCACTTCAAATAACATTTATTTCAACTTAAAAATTAATGATGTTAAGAACACGACCAAGTAAATGAAAAAGGAAACTCTGCCTCATGGTAATAGCAAAAATAAAAACTATCTTGAAAACATGGCACTCAGAGCTGCTCCGACTTATGCATCCTAAAATCAAACGAAGCGAAAAAAAAAGTTACGTCAGGCGTACGCCATGACAATACACACAAAAAGGCACGACGAACACGTTCACGTGGAATCATTAAGGGAAATAATACAATTAGGTGCACAGCAGAAAAGGGCATGGCACAATTACAAAATTAGAACTTACTAAAAGTACTGAAAGTAAAAAGATGCTTCGGATGGCAAAACTGAACAAAAAAGCTATGCGGACCGACTGTTGAAGCTTCACGTATTTGCCGCTTTATGCTTCTGTACTGTGGCGCGATTGTGTGACTTAAAAAAAAATTCAACCTAGTGGCAACAAAAGTGCTATCACTTCCGGAGTTAATGCTTTGGGGTGATCAGCCCATCTAACCTTTTGGAGAAGCGGCTAAAGCGGTTTCCGCCAAGAGCACCCGATGGATGTTAACGCAAGAGGAAGCAACCGATATAGCCGTTTCCTCCTCCAGTTGTCGACTACAGCGCCACAGGCAGCCATCCGTTTTTTTTTTTTGGCACAGCACTTTTTGTTGACGTTGGCCTCGTTTGCGGTCACTACTCCCCATTCTACATTCCAGAACACTGTATTATAAACAACCTATATTCTTAATCCACTAATGTTGGTAAACCGTTCTTTTTTCGGAGACTTGGTTTGAGGGTTTCTAGGTAGAAAACTTTACAGAGGGCGCCGTAGAAAAAGGAAGGGGAATGCAACAGTTACAAGTAATTTTAGTGCTTTCAAAATTAATCAATTGCTCTTCTGAATACTTCCTTATGTATTCCACAAATTACAAAATCACTCTTAGAAAGTAATTGAATACAAGTAATTTGATTACTTGTAAGGGTTACCGTGCAAGTCTGCTCTAGGTTAACCTTTAATTCTCTTAAAGAAGCCTATATGCGAGATAATGCCGTTAAATATGCTTTAGCAAAACGTATTCTTAAGGTTCACTGGTGCGGTGGAATGTCCGTACGCGGAAATTGAAATTTGTGCAAAACACGAATCATTTGCAAACGTTTTTACGTTCATTGCGGTGGGAATTGTTTAGAGGAAGGTTTTATATGTGAAACAGCTAGTGGCATTTTGTCCTGCGAAAACATTTTTTAGTTTTATTTAGCACAATAAAACAAGATTGATCTCCTTTTATGAGACATGTTTCTTTGAAGTTCCACGCTAAATGAAGGTCTAATTTATTTTAGCATCAGGATGTATCAGAAAAGCCACTGCGATTTTCGGATGTTGTCAGTGTAAGATGCGACATCTGCAACGAGATTGTCAAGAACAGCGACTACGTGGTGAGTATCTGGTCATAACAACGATTGAAAAGGTTACGGTATCCTGAATAATATCCGAATTTAATTCTCGTAGACAAGAGATTGTCGAGAAGGTCCGCTGGGTATCCCTGCATTCCAAACACCCCCGAAGGTTCCATGCTTTCAGTGTCTACTACCAAGTCCTGGAATATAATGCTGAAACTGAATCTTTTAGTACTTCAAAGAGGTTCCACACATACTACTACGGTTCTGCTGGGATGCTGGTAAACAGCGATTTTTGACTCACTTTAACTTTTAAAGAAACTCGGTTATCCGCAACCTCACATACATCGCGGCGAAGCCTACACTTTGTTTCACTTTACGTGGGTGTAGCACAGCATCTTATACACATTTGACTAAAAAAATGGGAGAGGGCGTTTATGTTATGAGCCATTTTTAACTATTAAAAACTTCTGAAATGTGCCTGATCATCATAGGCTTTACAGTTGCAAAGAAAAAGGCTGTGAACTTTAGAATACATGGCAGCGCTCGAAGATGATGACAAAGAGGAGGAGAACTGGACACCACTGTTGCTCACGGTGTGTCCAGTTCTTTTCTTCTACTCTTGTGGTACGTAGCTTGTACTTTAACATTCAACACCAACTGGCCTATAAGCAAAAGAAATAATTTGTTAAACATTTGCAATATGTTAATTGCATTAACTATAGACAAGTTATTAATTATATTTGTAAAAGCAAGAGGAGGCAAACTTCCAAATTGTTAACTTTTTTTATAATTTTAAGTGTTTTGCCTATGACAAGCAACGCAGATGTTCGAACTATTATCCAATGCATCTCACGTTTCAAATTTGAAGTACTTTGAATCGCATAGATTATGGGGTTTTTCGGAATATTGAGTATTATACTGAAATGCACCTATAGATACATTAGAGATGTGACTAAATCAGCTGCATAATTCGTATTCAACATGTAAAGTATTGTAGTGTGTTTTTAAACACGACTACTCAGCCAAGTGCCAGAATGCAAAGCAAGAGGCAGTTCGTGTCAGTAAGTCAAAATCATGAAGAATGCACGTATATAATGTACGATGTGTTACTGCGCATTTCCTGCGCTTTGGGCAGTGGTCAGGAGAAGCAAAACCTAGTCTTGAACTACCATGATGACATTTTCAGATCATGTAGCATATCGGCGATTTAATATGCAAATTGTATGCAAACTGTTCTGAATTTTAATTAACCATTCATTTTGAATATATCAGACCTAATCAGAAAGGTTTCTTGGGATGTCATATATTTAAATAACTAAATAAACTTGTCCCGTACCTTCGCAAAAGGAGTAAAATGCCATGCTGCTCCATACTTTCTGAAGCACATTTTTCTTAACGTTAACAAACTGTTTAACCTAAATCTTTCAATTTATATACTAAATGACAAAATTTGTCACCAAATTACTTTCTATATATACATTCAATGTAGTACTCAATAAATTTAAAACATAGGTTTTACGTATATCACTGCTAAGGAAAGCCTGTGGAAACCAGAAATTGACATACTTAATACCGCATTCTTTAAACAATAAACCAGATATGTTGAGAATTTTACGAAATAAAGTATCACTTAACAGCTTGAAAATATGTAAAACTGTATCTTTAGTTCTGCCCTACGAAATAAATTTGGTTTTCGAAATTATATCTCCATTCCATATATTTGGTTTATCGTTGCGAATACAAATTTCTAATAATAACTTTGCGATTTATTTTTAATGTAGCCACTTTATGACACTGGGGTATCAAACGAATTTTAGTGTCGGGGCCAGATAGTTCACCCCCGTAAGGTCAAGGGCCGACGAAGGACCAAGGGGGGGGGACGCTTTATTTTGGCAAATGAGAAAAAATACAGCAGTGGTATTTACGTTGTAAATTAGCCGAGCCTTTCACGGATATATACGAGATTTCCTTGAGATGGTACCTCGTGCATTTTTTCGTAAACTCCCTATTTTAGTGGTGGCATCCTTAGCTTTAATTTGTTTGTAAGACTAGTGTTGGTTGGCCCATCCCCGATGCGACAACAAACTTTAAGCTACACCACGCCGCGTGCGTGCTAGATATTTTTAATAAAAAAAAAGGATATGCACACTGCCGTTCATGTGTCGCCCAATTGTCTCATGAATTAGCCAGATCCAACATGCCTCGAAGGACACAACAACACTTCACACGAGATATTTCTTGGCCGACAATTTCTACAGCAGAATTATATAAAAAAGAAAAATTCCTGCCCTTTAATGGTATTTTTTGACTACTAAAAACTTGAGCTTAGATTTTTTTTATAGTTACTACTGCTGAGCAAGAATTCGTGCAGTCAAGTTGCATCCTGTCTTGCTGGATAGTACCAGTGGCATTCCAAAATAAAATAAAATAGAGAAATATGTGAATGCCTTATAAGAAGTTGAGCTACATGTTTCCATACTAAACAAACCGACGACATGAGACCGTTATCTGTGACGGATATAGCGCTCGAAAGATGGGAATGGGGTTTCGCAGCCGCCTGATGCTCGGGAGCCGTGTCCCAGCGAGTCACGGACCGCGTGTTTGAGAGCCATATTATTACATATCAAAGTATTTTTTGTGGATATAATAATGTTAATCATTATACTGGTTTCTGCCGATGTTTTCTTATTGCGTTTTAATACTCGTGTCTTCCATTGTCTGCTGACGTAGTTTACAGGGGTGCCCGTCTCGTCAGGCAGAGTGTGCTTGGCAATTTGTCCTTTCCCTCGAAATATTTGTGTAAAAAGAAAAAAAGAAAAACACCAAGCTACGCGGGCAGTTGAAATCTTGAATCTTTCAGGAACATTTGAAGAGGCATACTCAAGAGCGGAACAATCAATGCGATCCAATAGTTCAAGAGACGCCGAATCAGGTAAATGGTTATTTAAGCTACGTCTACATATTATAGGTAAAACTAATGGCATCAAGGAAAGTTGTTATCAAGAGATCAAAGTGCTGCCTTGCAAATTGTGACATCTTGAAAACGTGTGCATTTGTAGGACGCCGCTATGGAATTCGAAGAAACCAGGAGTGACGAGACGCACCCCCACACCGGCTACAAGGAGCACAGTTTAGACGGGGTATGCAACGTGACCTTGGAATACAAAAATGCAGTACGTCAAAAATTTATTCTCACGAAGTGATGCGACAATCTGAAAAATTGAAAATGAGGAAGAGATTGTCAGCTACCACACGCTCTAGACAATTTAATATTTTAAACATTGTGTCGTTTCAGTTTTATCTTAATCACTTTATTATTTTTTTCTCAAAACGTGCGGTTGAGGTGTTGAAGGACCTCAACAGGCATATGGGCATTCTTGCATACACCGACTTCATTACAGGCATTATGCATCGTTTCCTGTCCTAACCATTGGTTGTTTTGAAGTGTTATTTTCTAGGGTGATTTGTTGGTATTTATTTACTTTTACTGTGAATCGTTACATCCCCACTACTTCAATGGCCTCAAATGAGGTTGCACTATGTGGAAATAAAGAAATAAAACAAATACTAAATAATATTCCAACGAGACTAGTGCAAAATTTAAGTTTCATACCTACGAAACAAAACAATGAAAACCGGGCACTGTAGAACGCAACAAGATCGGACGCAAACAGGCAGGAATAAGGTACAAAACAAAAACAAGTCTCGCTTATCTTTACGAATATTCACCCTATAAGCGATTCGTCGTTGTCAGCATTAGTGGACGCGGTATTTATAATTTTTGTTTAAACCCATAGACATGTGCACCTGCGAAACGTGTCTTGAATACACACACGTGTAAAAACAAATATAAGGTAAGGGAAGTCTAAAAAGAAGTGAAATAAGTTGATTGAATTTATCGACGACTTTTTGTTTGGAGATAATGATATGAAATTAGACACCTATTTCACTCCTTAATATATTTTGATCTCAGTTGGTGTCACTTATTGATATCACTTATTGCTTGAAGAAAAAACTATTTAAACGGAATCATATCTAAATTTTTTCTAGTGGAAACAATTGGTCCTGTGAGTTAGCCTACATGACCTTAAAGCAATAGTTAATTGATGTCTTCCCAAACGGCTTGAAAAAATAAAGTCTGTTGCGTTTTATATTTCTAAATTGCGTTGCCCTAGTGAGTAGTCCATCCCCAGCTCCTCACGCGTGTTCCGTAACGAAAATCTGAATGCCTTGTGTTATCAACTGAATAATTGAATCATAAATACAACCGAACATAAGAGTTTTTACCCTTAACCTAAAAAAAACGCGCGTTCTTTTGTAGGTAGTCCAAGTATAAGCCTCGCAAGTGGGCTCATTTTCGTCTCTGCGCATGCGAAAGGAAGTAGCGGTATCGTCAGAACGCCGAGGCCTGATTGGCGGATCGCGACCCCCTACCTCAGCGTCGTCTGCTCCTTTGCAATGTCGTCTGCTCGCAACGTCGTCTGCGTCTGTCATACCTTTCCTGCGACTTTCGGAAGTGCAGGTCTTTTCGAGCGAGCTCGACTTCGCCTTTCAGAGAGGGTAGATGAAATAACTCGAGCGGTACGTTGTTTTTGTCTAACAAATAGCAGACGCGCATCAAGGAGGAAAGTCGAAGGACTCACTGGCGAGGTGTCCTGAGGCGCCGAGGTTTGTTTGCCAAGAACCAAGAGTGAGCGTCCGCAAGTTCCCCCCCAAATACTTTTTCCCTCCTTTCGTGTGCGGCGAGAGGTTGGCTCAGTTAACGTCGTCTGCTTTACGTCTGCTAGTCAAAGCAATGGCTGCTTTACCTTTCCTGCGTCTGTCGGAGATTCACCGCTTTTTCACCCGCGAGAGTCACCGTTGCCTCGGGAAACAAGGAGATAACAAGAGGAAGAAATAGACCTCTTAATCTAAAATTGAGGTCAGCGATCAAAGTATAATACGGGAAGGGTTCACAAGGGTCGCGCGGGCGTATTCCATTCAGTACGCCAGCCGGTCGTGGGCAGACGGTCGCCGAGTCGCGGTGTGCCTGCTAGGCCTAACAGCCGAAGCTCGCTTGGTCGCGTTCGGTGGAATCGTGGCCGTTAGAGCTTTTCCCGGGTGTTTGTGGATCCAGCGTTCTTGTTCGTCATGGTCTGTTTCAAGTACCTTTTACTTTTTTCTTGCTGCTTGAAGTCGGGACGCGTGAGAAGCGCACGTAGAAAAATAAACGTCCGTGGTTCGTCGCGACCGCGACGGTGTCGGACATGCTGATTTGATTGTAAAAAGTGCGTAAGACAGCTTCAGAGCTGTCGTAGGATTTTGTCGTAACCTGCGCAAAACTTACAAAAAGTTCGTTTCGTAGATACGAATTTGTTCTTAAGTTTTGTCTTGCGCACATTTTTGGCGTAAGATCGTGTCGTGAATCTGGCCTCTGCACTTCCGAAAGTCGCAGGAAAGGTAAGACAGACGCAGACGAGGTTGCGAGCAGACGACGTTGCTAAGAAGCAAACGGCGCTCAGATAGGGGGTCGCGATCAGCCAATCAGGGCTCGGCGTTCTGACGTCACCACTACCCCGTTAGATAGGGGGTCGCGATCAGCCAATCAGGGCTCTCCTCCTCTCCCCGGAAATGAGGGAGGAGGAGAGCCCGCGTACACACAAAATGGGAGAGGGGTCGCGGGCCTGTACCTTCCACTGCATTGCCAAGAAAAGTTGTCGCGGAGTATGGATTAGCTCAGTTACGGAACTGCTCATAGACGCCGCATGCACGAACAGTACCCCCTCCCCCCCCCCCCCCCCCCCTCACTCACCACGACTCGCCAAGCGTCGCTCGACGAGCCGCCAGACGGCTGCTTTGGTAACTGAATCAGGATACGTACGTTTCACCGTTACTAGAAACGTAAAAACCAACGAAAAAAAACTCTTCTTGTAGTAAGTTGGATTGGAGTTTAGTACAAAATGAGGGGCGCGTGATGGTTTTAAAATCTTAAGTTTGCAAGGTTTTGCGGTACAATTAAAATTGTTTCCATACAACCCTGCCTCAGCGGTAATTTCAGGTAGCGCCTCCTGACCTAGGCTCATCTTAACTTCAGGGCGAATTCGCGGCGCGTCCGCTGTGGAGACAGGGGTGGCGTCCATGTAACCCTTTTAGGTGTATCTGTTTCGGCTACGAAATGGCCGATTGGAGCCGAAATGGTTGTAATGTGCAGTTCCTCGAGTGACCGCTGCAGGGTAAATGGCGGTGTTGTGATCGCCTTTTGGCGCTTCAGCTGGGCTCTTTGGAACGCATAGTTATGAAACGAACATATAGATGGCGCTTCGAACGACGCTAGGCGGATTGAAGTGAGTGAGGGGGGGGGGGGGGGTACCCCCCTCCGCGGAAGTTCGACAACTGTGGTAATCTAATACGTTGCCCCCTGCGCAAGAAGCAGATGAACTTGCCCTCCGAATTGATGCGGAAAAAGTTTAAATTTATTTTAGTATAAGAAGGTGTCTCTGAAGCCACTGGGCGTTTTCGTCACAGTTGATTAAAAGATTCTGCCAGTCATCACCAGCAGTATTTTCTGAAGGTGTCCGAATCTCCCATGTACAAGGATAACGCCAAGAAAATATGTTGTATGAGCTCATCATAACAAGCGGGACAGTTACTGTGTGGAGCAGATTATGGCAATCGAATCTTTGTCGTATACAAAGATTGGTGGTAGCTGTTGTTAACTGTTCCTTCATTTCAAACATAATCAACGTTGTTTTTTTTTTTTTTTTTTTTTTTTGAAAACGTTTTACACGTTTCCTTTAATGAAAACGTTATATATCTCTTAAAGGGGCCGTGCAATCATATTTAAGCGTCTACTTTTTTTTTCGGTTTTCACGTCTCTTGGGGTTCGGGCAAGCCAGCGGGCACGGAGAGAGGAACTAAATATCAGTGCGCCATATTTTAACCGGACGACACGGAAACCTCCTCCACCGACGAGGGCGACCCGCGGTGCCGAGATGGCGCGACATGTGAAGTCTTTGGTCCGGGGCTTACTACTGGTCAGAGCCGCTAAAAGCTTCGTTTTAATCGAAATGCAAAATATAAGTGGCGGGAACCGTTTCAATTACGTACGAAAGAAGTTTTCGTTTACTATTTTTGATCAAGAAAAGAAACAAGTGCAGTTTATAAAGTACGAAAACAAGAAATGACCCGTCGACATACCTGCCGAGAGTAATTTGTGACACTTTGTCAAACGCTTTGGTTATATAAAAGAATTTTGCATCAACTTGCCCCTTATTTCGTGACAAATGGCAGGTTACTACTTGAGCGTCTCAAAAGCGTATCACAATTTACCTTTAGTTTGTAAGTTATTTTTTATGACAGAAAAGGACACACATGAAGGAAATTGGAGCAGCAGAGATAAGTTAATATAGTAACACTGGAGCAAAACGTTTAATTCCCAGGGTTAGTATAAATTTTAAAAACAGATAGGTTGCAGTCTCGCTTTAGATATTGTGGGATTCGCCCTTTTGGGGGTTACCACTTAGAAACACAGAAAGTTTCTTGGGTCCAGATAATGACGTGTTTATTGACTGAAATGCCAACACGCTTCGCTCTTAGACAGGAAAAGTCTGGGCGCTGGCTCAATTGCCAGTATTACCCGGTCGGTTTCCCTCGCTGCCGCAATAGACAGATTCACGGGAAGTCGGAGGCCCACAAAGAAAAACCGAGCTCCGGAGAGCCAGGGCCTCCGCCAATGAGAGTCACTGGCACAAATTGGTTTGCTCTTTATGTTTATACAGCCTTGATGGAGATGCACCTCAACGGGTAATCGGTCTCTTAGCTGTAGATGAGAAATTTAGCGAGTGCAGTACAACCGCGAACCTGGGGTTTTTAACGTGCATCACGCAGTAGCGATCACACGAACGCATGCCGGTACGAAACTCATCCAGATCGAAACGGGCGGGGGCGGCGGGGATCGAGCCCAGGAGGTTCCTAGCGCAAGCTTTCGCACCACGCTCCGAGCTGAGACGCGTTAGCCCACTCGGCCACTTCCTCCTCTTGAGCCCCTGGCACTCCTTCGGGGCCAGCTTATGTAGCCTCAGAGATTGGACGCGCCCGGGGAGGCCGCTGGCAGTCGCGTCCATTATAACTCGCAAGGGTGTGCCGAAGGCGCGTTCACCCAAAATGGGCAAGGGAGAGCCGGCCCCTTCGGGGAATTCGGCCTCGTGGTTCCTTGTATCCGGGAGGCCGACGCCACTGGTGACGGCGACTCCCACGGCCTGCTTGAAGCTAGGCCTGGATAAGCATAGAGGGAACCCCATGGTTCCCACAATATAAAAGGAATGTGAAGATAATACAAAGTAATGAATGCATACCAACAAATCTGTGTACAAAGATACGTAGAGCTCGAACTATGACATGAAAATCGTTCTTCAAGGGAGCAAGATGAGTTTTTTTTTATTCACCTTTGTGGGAAGCATGTTTCAAGAACTCCAGTTTGGAATCGAATCCGTAGATAATTGTTTATTCTTTTCTAGGAGCACTGTGAAAAATCCGATAAAGATCCAGTTATCTGCTCTGGCTGCGGCTTATTTGTGCAACGGAACAACATGCAAAAACATACTTACCTGTCATGTCCAGAACGTATAATTTTCTGCGAGCGTTGCCACTCTTCATTTCCCTGCTCGATGGAGGAGGTAGGAAACCAAACTTATTAATTATTGAAATGACAGATTAATCTTTGTGGTACTGTATTTGAAATTTGTTTGTTAATATTGAAAAATTCGAAGCTACATAAACTTCGAAATTGGATGAGTGCATTTAGACGCACGTTCTTATGGTAACAAGCGTTTGATTTTATTTTTATTACGACACCAAAGATTTTTGTACGATTATATCACTGTACAACAAAAACCGAAGTGTTATTCAAACAGGTCATATAAACGTCAAGAAGCAGCAGTACGTAAATCGGCTAATATGTAAATTTTACGTAATTTTAGAATTCATGCAATAACTGTGAGCCGTCGTCAGGAAAATAATTACATGAAGATCGCAGACGTCCGCCGTAACTGTATGTTTACGAGAAGAGATTGCTTTTTCTCTCAACCATTCCTTTTGTAGAGATTTTTAGAAGTGTTCCCGAAAACACCGGGTGTTTTTTGTTTCTGATGGTCTACAAAACTGCTATTTTTATCGTCTGTTTCCAGATTGTAAGTTACGCTGCCTTTTATTTTTTATTTTTTAATACTCGTCACCAGTGTATGCAGAAATGTATGATTTTTTTCCAGACGCACAAGTCTCAGTGTCCGAAGATGGAAAGGGAGTGTTCCGATTGGGATGTGAACGTTCTCAACGAAAACCTACAACATTATCTAGACACGGAGTGCCAGAAGCGAGTGGTTCTTTGCGGCGCCTGCAACAGTATGATGTGTTACGATGAACGTGGCGTAAGTTGTTTTTAAGGCGCGAAAATAGATGCAGTACTTGCTGTCTCTCTCTCGCGTTGCCGTTTTAAAGGGACAGTATTCTTTAAACCAGGAGTTTTTATATTTTTTTTATTTCTGTTCTACGATGCAGACAAGATACAATTAACACTTACGAAAAAAAAAAAGGAAAACAAAAAGTTGTTAAAAACTGCACAAAACAAAATAAAAAGCTCCCGAAGCCCCGCCCGAATTTGAGCCTAGAAGAATCAAGCGCTTATTTCAGTCTTGTCGTCCTTATCTCAACCGAGTGTTGTCGGCACCTCCGTCAAGGACGCCCCACAGATAAAGTGGTTATGTTTGATTTCCATGCACTCGATTTACCTGCACGGGTACAGTGTGCATTGAGTGCAACTGCACCAGTTGCACTCGGTGCAGACTGCCAGGGGTGAAGGCTATCTGAAAACACCCGGAAGTACTGTCGGGTTCAAATGAAATGCGAACAGCGGAACGTGTGGCCGTCGGTACATGCTGCGTCTTCTGGAGGCCTCTTGAAACTGATAAAACTGCGAGTTGGAGAGTGGGGCGCTGCGAGAATGTGCGTCCTACTCCGATGTGTTTGATTGTCGACCTGCGCAACCCAAGCTTCAACGCTACGCCAGTGATTCGCTTGAAGTTCCGTCCAAGCCGCTCTGCTTGGCTCGGCATGAGCCACGCGAGGAAGCTCACCGCTCGCAGTAGGAGCTGCCTCGGGCAGGGGTCTGCGGAGCATTGCCGCAGTGTCATGCCCCCTTCTAACTTGTGCGGTCATATTTTCTTGTCTTAATAGCCGTTGTCATTTCTTGTGAACAGTATTGGGGAGGAGATCGAACAGTCACGACTCTAGCGGCACGCTTCAGCTGTGGGGGCAACAAACCGAATTTTCTTGTTTGTTTTTGATCAAGCGATATCGAAGATGACGATTCGAAGGTCAGCATTGGTCAGAGCGAAGCGCTCGTGTCCATACCGTGCATGACGAGGTTCAATTTATTTGTTAAGCTGTGTTAGTAAACACCGGGCTGTGGGGACAACAACCTCGATAAAGCGCCCCCTAGAGTTCAATCTCCTGCCCAATAGAAGGAGCTTTGCGAAATTCGAGATAAAAAAGAAGGGGGGGATCCTGAGGCCGTAAACTCGTCAAACACAAAGTTGGAGCTGAAAGTTCGCGGAGCGCGTCGATTGGATGCCGGCGGCAAAAGCGCGATGTCATCGTCGTGATGGTGCAATCGGTACACTCCGTGAACTTCGGTCCCAACTTTGTGTTTGACGAGTTTAGAGCCCCAGGACAGCTGCTGACGCCTAAGTGAAGTCAATTACCTGGCAAACGTTTATGCATGAGCTCCCAGTCCTCTCCCTGTGTCTCCTCTAGTTCTTGTGTCTCGTGTGTGGCGCTGGGATTGCCAAAATGCAGGTCCGCGAGCTCCCGCATTCACAAAACATTTTAACGCAATGCATTAACTTTATCACTGACATCGACATAACGCAATGCTCATTAAATGATTACACCGCGTGTCAAAAGTGTGAAATAGAAGTTAAAGCAATGCGTTCGTGCACGGAAGACCTGTGGAGCTTGATCGACTTACATCAGAACCACGGAGTCGTCCTGATTTAGAGCGTATGACTCCTGTAAAATTGTGAAACAGCGTGAACGGGAATTGACATGTTTATTGCCAGGGAGCACTTGTGCAAACAGATATTGAACAACTAGATAACACAAATACTGAACCCAGCAAAAACTGATGCCACGGACAGCGCCCCTGCAGTAGATGTCTGCGCCGGCTTGCTTTCGTTGTTGTATTTCACTAGGCAGGTCTTAGTGAGTGGCCAAATAATACATTGTGAAGCTGCCTTCAGCGTCTGCATGCCCGCAATCTGACGGAGGCTTTTTGCGGAGAAGGCGCCGTGTAACCGAGCTTTCAGTTGCACGTCAAAAGATCCCCAGGTGGTCCAAACTAATCCTCACACCTCCGCTGGGGCGTGCCAGATGCCCGTCGTGGGTTTGGCACGTAAAACCCCCAAATTTGACTTCAGCGTCTGCAACGGCAACCATCCAACGAGGTTTACCTTCCGTCAGGCGGGATAGCAGGTTCGAAGCTCGCAGCCGCTCCCACTCACTCAACTACCATGACATCGCGTGTTAAGAAAAAAAAAACTGCGGAAGTTAGGAGGGAGCATGACGTTGCGGTAATGCTCCATAACCATGCTCGCCAGGCGCGCGCGCAAGCAGCCTGGGGCCCTAATCTGGACACTTGGCGAGAAAGTCGGCGAGAAACCTGACGGCTATGATTGGCTGGCGTCAAGGTCAAGTGCGGCGTCGGCCAATCACAGCCGCCAGATTTCTCGCCGACTTTTTCGCCATGTGTCCAGATTAGGGCCCCTGCTCCTGCTGCGAGCGGCGACCATCCTTGCATGGCTCATGCCGAGTCAACGAAATTGCATTAGACGAAAGTTCCAGCGCACCATCGGCGCAGCATCGAAGCTTGTGTTGTGCTGGGCGAGGGTCTAACGGATTGGAGTAGTACGCACACCGTCGCGGCGTCCTACACGCCGATCCGCGGTTCTATCAGTTTCAAGAGGCCTCCAGGAGGCGCAGCATGAACCGACGGCCACGTGCTCCACTGTTCGCATTTCATTCGAACCCTATAGCAGTGTTGTACATTTTCCTCGACAAAAGAAACGAAAGCTCATTCCTTCTGATTTTTTAGAACGCGTTCCCGTTACAAGTTTCATATCTAAAACAAGAACTCGTTCCCGTTACACCTAAAAAAATGGAACGTATCGTTACATATGGGTTACATTTGTATTTTGCTGATTACCATATTTAGTTGGATCGAGCCAAGTTTTAGTCTTTTGTATCCCATAAAATGGTGACAAAGAATTTGAATGACGTTATGGAAGGGCACCAGGAGAAGAAAATAAGCGGAAGCAGGAGTTTTATTTCTTGATATATTCACCATTAAAAATCTCAGCTTTTAACCATATTCATGTTTGTGGTGGGCGATTCAGACGAGCCATTTGCACTGTTACTTCAGACTTCAGGAGCGTTTTACAACCCTCACAGGTTTCAATCTAACACAGTCCCTTGTTCGAACTTGACAACAGTTGCTTCTCGATGTTGCTGTCTGCGAGACGAAGAATCGAAGAAGACGGTAGGGCATTTGGAAGATCAGTCTACAAGTCCTTCTTTGTGAAGGTTGGATTCGTAGTTCAGTTTGAAGGTGGGGGACAAGATGAGAAGGAATAACGGAAAATTTTACAGCGCAGCTCTTAGGGGCCCGTTCCCTGCTTGAGCGGCGTCGGCGTCGCCGTCGGCGTAACCAAGGTCATCCCAAGGTCACTTGACCCCCAAAGTCATCCCAAGGTCACCCCAAGGTCACGTGACCCCTCCCCAAGGGTCATCGGGGGTCACGTGACTCCCCAAGGTCACGTGACACCAAAAGTCACGTCTCCCTAAGTCACGTGACCCCCGATGACGTCATCAGTGACGTCACTGATAACGTCACCGGCATCCGCATCGTCATCATCACTGATGACGTCACCGGCATCCGCATCGTCATTGTCATCATCACTAATGACGTCATCAGTGACGTCACTGATGACGTCACCGGCATCCGCATCGTCATCGTCATCATCACTGATGACGTCACCGGTATCCGCATCGTCATCGTCATCATCGCTGATGACGCCATCAGTGACGTCACTGATGACGTTACCGGCATCCGCATCGTCATCATCGGTGATGACGTCATGAGTGACGTCACTGATGACGTCACCGGCATCCGCATCGTCATCGTCATCATCACTGATGACGTCACCGGCATCCGCATCGTCATTGTCATCATCACTGATGACGTCATCGGTATCCGCATCGTCATCGCTACTGATGACGTCATCGGCATCGTCATCGTCACGTGACCCCCCTAGGTCACGTGACCCCCACCCAAGGTCACTTGACCCCCCCAGTACCCTTCCCTCCTCCTCCTCAAGAGCTGCGCTCTAATTTGGCGTTACAGGGAGTTTTCCGCTCTCTTGTACCCAACCAACTGTTACCTAGCGAAGAGCACGCAAAATAAACCCTAAGATAAGTAAAAAAAAACCTTAACGGGTAACCTCTCTTCGTAAAGATATCGTTTTTATACTTTTAATAATTTTCTCTTAGAAATAAAAATAAATTACATCACTGGACGAAAAAAAAGGGACGCCGTTCCTTTTTCCGTTCCAGTAAAAATATAACGAGTTCCTGTTCCAGCTTTACCGATGCAAAATGGAACGATGGCCTTTCTTCGTTCTTCCTTAAAGGAAGACGTTCCTTGGAACGCCGTTCCGTACAACACTGCCCTAAAGTACATTGATCTGCACTTTTCTGCACCGGTACAGAGTGATGCCGGTAAATCGTATGAGCCCAGTCACAATGTGACTGAGGCGACAACGTTTCTCTTTGAAACTTCATTGTGAGCAGGGCTTCGGGCGCTATCTCCAGGCGCAATTTTAAAATTTGGAGAAAAATGGCGAAAACCGATTGATGGCTCAAAAACTCTATTGCCTGTAGGCATACCCTGTAAATTGACGTGGCCCCTAATAGTAATTGCAGCCAATAACGCAATTTCAACGTGACCCATAAAAACAATTAAGAAGTTAATCAACACATGTTAGTTAAGGAGCGGGAAAGACTGGTGTTATAGCAATTGCCATCCGGGACATTCTAAATTCGCGCTGGATTGAAGACTATTATGCACAGATACGTTACAGATAGGGAAACAATTATTGTTTAATTTTTTTTGTACGTACTCGTAGTAAAAGCGAGCAGCCAGTATTTTCTTATAGCAGAGCCATTGGCGACTTAATGCGCTATTGATACATTCTACTCAAATAACTTTGGGCAGGTGACCGTTCTGCAAAAACACGCCCTGTTCGTACAGGAAGTTTTCAACGCAGAGGCGTCGTTCGCTGTAATACATTTTTATAAATTATTAGCCCCTAATGAAAACACTTAAGTGCTCATATGTAATACACTTTTAAATAATTTATTACTTTATTATATAATTATTGCTTGCTGGCTATAATTACAAATTCTACTTTGTATAGAATTTTGCAAGATGGGACTAATGACTATTTAATAATGCAATGTTCTTGTATCTGTGTTAGTATAGAAAAGGTGCACCACTGTACTTCCACTTGCACTATTTCTACCTAATTGTTTCCCTCCTAGAATAACTTGATGCTTTACACTGGATGTGCCACAATAATGCATGCCGTAAAGAACTAAAACAATTTTATTATGATAATAATAATAATAATATTAATGTTTATTTTCCACCATAAGATGGTGGCGATCAGGGAAAAACGCTGTCAGGTACAGCTTGACGGGTCCCTGACCGGTATGTTATAGAAATGTTTTCGCATAAACAGATACTATATACAAACCAAAAGCACAAAACAAAATGTTGTGAACCCATTGTTTGAAGTTTCGAGTAATAAGAAGACATCACGTAAATGCCTGTATAAAAAAAGACTTAACTTTAGAACTCATCGGTGCCATTTTCAGGTACCGTCCACCCTCTGACTCGTGACTATACGGAGAGCAATTCATCTGCGTCTTGCACAGGGGTCGCGGTGACATCAGCACGAAGCCGAGTTCTAATTGGCTTTGACTGGAAGGTTAGTGGGTAGACGTCAATGCTAGAAGCGTTGAGATCTACTTACTATTATTTTCAATCAGCCAATAAGAGCTCGGCGTTCTGAAATCACGACACCTGTGCAAGAAGCAGACGAACTTGTGCTCCGGATTGCACCACACCCCACAAGAATCGAAGTTTTTTTTCGTGCGCAATGAACAGCATGCTTCAGGATGTGCCGATGTCCTTGCGGGTTCCTTCTGTTTTTATACCGGGAGCTTGTACGAAAAGTTTCAAAATGTTATAGAAATAGGGTGGTTGGGAAAAGAAAGAAATTATCTTAGAGAACAAACTGTCACCCACGGCGAACGTCAGGGATATTGCAAGGACACACTAATTAGCTAACTATGGCTGCAATTAGAAACTTGCTGAGCGTTATAAAAAACCCAAAAGTTCGTCAATTTAAGAAGACCTGAAGCGCGTGGGAAGCGAAGGGGGGGCAGGCGTTAATATTTCAACTAGTGCAGCAGGCTAAAGGCTGGTGACGCGAAAATACGGTAGATAAAATAATGATTTAGGTTGTTTTTTTTCGCCAGCTTTCCGTCTGCTACAAGAATTGCAACTTTAGCAGACGCCCGCGCTTCTAGCGTGCTTCAAGTCTTCCTAAAATAAATGGATTTAGGTTTTTTCTTTGTCGACGTTCATCAACCGCGTATTAGAAACCATGTTTATCTTTATTAATTATTAGAGTAACAAGTGAATATTGCGCAAAAATTTTGCTAATTAGTGGGTCTCTTACAATCTGACGCCCGCTGTAACTCTGTTTCTAGCAATTTTTTTTCTTTCTGTTTATAGGGAGCTCTAAAAATATTAGTACAAAGTATTATTTTTTCTTTATGACCAGCAAAAGTTCTGCGGTTTCGTTTTGTCTGTTCTCAGTTTGCAACCAACGCTAGTTTTTAGTTTTTTTTAATGACCATTAAACTATTCTCGTGCGAATCACAACTACAGGGGTTGTCCCAAAACTTCCCGGAATAGTTTTTTGTAGTCGGCAACGCCGCCTGCCCGGGCGGGGCTTCAGGAGGAGAAGTTAGTGGAGGATCTATTCTTTAAAGCGAGACCGGTCTCTGTTGGCTGCGGGCAGTTGTTGAGGCAGGTCACTCTCCGCGCAGAGGTAGCTACTGCACCATCGTCGAGAAAAAAAAAATGTACCAGTCTCTGGAGCAGCTTTATGCAATCAAGTTTTGTGTGAAACTGGGTAAAAACGGAGCGGAGACGCTCGAAATGCTTCGGAAAGTCTACGGTGAAGACGCGATGAAAAAAAGCCAAACTTTCATGTGGCACAAGAGGTTCCGGGAAGGTCGGGAGTCCGTCAACGATGACGACCGCTCGGGACGCCAGTCGACATCACAAACGGACGACTCGGTGCAAAACGTGTCACGTTTTGTACAAGAAACGGCGATAAAGTGTTCGGACGATCGCAGAGGAGTGTGGAATGCCCAAAACAATCGTTCATAACATTTTAAAGGATGAAGTTCAAATGAGAAAAGTCTGCGCGACAATGGTCCCTAAAGTCCGGACGAGTGAGATAAAGGAAGAGCATTTGTTAAAGAGCCAGGAATTGCGTGAACGCTACGAAACGGACCCAGAATTTTCGGACAGAGTGATCAGAGGGGACGGGACGTGGATTTTTGAGTACGATCCCGAATCAAAGCGTCAGAGCAGTGAGTGGCTCACTACGGAGTTCAAAGTGTCAGAGCAGAGAGTGGCACACCAAGGAGTCTCCCCGCATGAAAAAAAGCAAGGATAAGCAAATTGCGAACCAAGGCAATGCTGATTGTGTTTTTTGACGGAAAAGGTGCGGGTCACAGTGAATTCGTGCCAGAGGGACAAACAGTCAACAAGGAGTTATACTGTGAAGTGCTCAAACTGTGGTGCAACAGGGTTCGACGTGCCCGAAAATAAAATCGCGCCAATGGGATCTTGCACCATGACAAAGCGTAAAGCCACATCGCGCTCATTGTCTCCGAGTAGCCGGCCAAAATGGGTGTGGCAACGCTGTCCCAGCCGCCGTACAGCCCCGATTTGGCACCACCGAACTTCTTTCTGTTCCCAAGGATCAAAATAACCTTGAAAAGAACTCGGCATGGGACGCTGGAAATGGCAAAAAAAGCTGCGACGACCTCACTGTAGGAGGTTCACGTTGAAGGCTTCGAGGGTGCCTTCAATCAGGGCCGTACCCAGAAAAAAATTTCGGGGGGGGGGGGGGGGGGGGTTTCGGGAACAACGGCGGCCATTTTGAACGTGTCTATTGTCTTATTTTGCCAATGAATCGTGCATCGGTGGCATATAATGGAGAATTACAGCGACCCGGAGAACCGGTCGCGGTTTGGTACCCGGTAGCCGACCGGCGCCACTGCGCGTGCGCAGAGGTGGAGATTAAAATCGGCTGGCTGCAAGTGCACCGACCAGGGCCATACCCAGAAAAAAATTTCGGGGGGGGGAAGGTCAGAACCCCCTAACCCCCCCCCCCCCCCCCCTGGTTACGGCCCTGCCTTCAATGATTGGGTGAAGCGTTGGCAACGATGGATTGAAGCAGGGGGAGAATACCTTGAAAAGTTCTGAAAAGACTGTGAACTGATATTGAATAAATGATTTATATACAACAAAAATCCGGGAAGCTTTGGGACAGACCCTGTATTAACGTTTACTCATAATCTTCATACCGTCCTTGATCGTTCATCTTGGGTCGACCGTATATTCTTAGATTTTACTTAATTATTTTATAAGGTTTCACACAGGCTTCGTTTGTATCAACTCAGTTCTCTCAACATTAATAATGATGTATTAGCTCGAATCAACTCCTTTCTTACCAATCGCTCTCTATTTGTTCATGCTGACGGCATTAGCTCGCAACCCTTACCGGTGACATCTGGTGTACCCCAAGGGCCTGTACTAGGCCCTCTTTTGTTCATTAATTATTAATGACCTACACTTGCATGTCTCATCCTCGATTGGTCTGTTCGCTGACGACTCTGTTATTTAATCTGAAATTACTAATGATTTTGATGTCCAGTCACTTCCAAGTGAACTTAATCATATTTCCCGTCGGTGCGATCAATGGCGAATGAAGCTGAATGTCAGAAAGTTTAAATCCATGAGAGTAACACGTCATAATAACACTTGTCCGTCTTACTACATCGAAAATTTTGCACTGGACTCTGTAGCTTCATATAAATTTCTTGGTATACAGATGGCTAACAAACTCTCATGGAACGTTCATATTGAGTATATAATTTATATTGATAATTACATGCTGGGCGACCTTGGAAGACACTTCTCCTGTGCACCATCGTCCCTAAAACGTATTTTCTACATATCCTTAGTCCGCACTAAACTGGAGTACTGTGCCTCCATCTGGGATCCAGCCAATACATTTGCATTATCACTAGAAACCGTTCAAAATCTTTCTGTTCGCTTCCTACTGCACAACTTTCACCGCACTACTCGCGTGTCAACAATGAAAATAACCTAAGGCTTTCCTGACCTCTCCTTCCGAAGAAATATTGCTGGTCTGTGTTTGTTTCACAAAATATATAATCATAACCCAAAATTTACGTCAGCATTTGTTAATAGAATCATCTTGTGTCTCATCTCGTGTCGACCACCAAAGTAAGGTAGGCATCCCTCATTGTCGGAGATAAGCCTTCAATCAGTCTTTTATACCTTTATGCCTTTTCTCAGAAACACAGGTCTGAGTGTCCGAAGATCGAAAGGAAGTGCCCCGACTGCGGTGTCAACGTTCTCAACGAAAACCTTCAAAATCATCAAGACATGGAGTGTCAGAATCGAGTAGTTCTTTGTGACGCCCGCAACGGTGCAGTGTTTTATCATACACTTGGCGTAAGTCGTTTTTAAGGAGCGTAAAAAGTGCAGATTTTTCTGTCTTTTTATTTCTCTTTTATTCCTGTTGAGATGTAGATATGGTCCCGATATTACTAAGAAGAAAAGATCAAAACAAAAACTGGCTCAAAATGGCGCGCACAAAAAGCGTCCGAAGCCCGGCCCACAATGACCTCCAGACGAGTGACGTAGTCGTCAGTCAGGTCGTCACTATCTCAAGAGTGTGTTTGTCGGCCCCACTAACAAGGACGCGCCACCAATAGAGTGGTCTGGTTCGATTCACCTTCACCTCCTGCACCAGCTGCACTTGGTGCAGACCGCCGTATTCGATTTACGGGTGCAGCAGTTCTGAATACAAAGGAAGTATATTAACTCGCATTTTTTCTGCACCGGTGCAGGCTAGTCCAGATAAAAAAAATGAATATGCCCAGTGACAACATGATTGAGATTACAAAGTCACTCTTCTAAGTGTCATTATGAGCAGGGCTTCGGGCGCTCTTTTTGGGCGCAATTTTTAAAATCGGGTGTAAAAAAAAAAGCGACAACTGATCGATGACTCCAAAAATCATTGCCTGTTTGCAATCTCTTTCAAATGCTCTAGCCCCTAATAGTAAAGGCCGGCAATAAGGCAATTGCAATGTGCCCCATAAAACCAACATTTAAAACGTTGATCAAGAGTTGCTAAATAGTCAGTCATCTTACAGTGACGGTTATTTCCTTAATTAATGTGCGTGGAGCACGATAAATTTGTTCTGAATACGGCAAACTTGCAATTCTCACTCCCTTTTACAGAAAACAATTCGAAATAAAATTAAACACTCTGCACATTGTCATGGTGTGAGGCATATATTTATTTTATTTTGAGTATACCTACAGTTGTATGTTCGTGATGCTGACTTTGTGCAACATTAAAACTTTTCTTTAATCGACATTTGCGCTCAGTGGAAGTCGTTGAGGCATTCTTGACAAAAACAATATTCAATATATGTGTATATGCACTACCAAGTTTTAAAGGCGTTCGCATTTTGAAGATCACTGTTGATGGGCATTAAATGATATCATATCTCGAATAAACTGAAAAGGTCAAAATATATTAGCTAATACTATTTCTCTATCTTGCTGCATGTTTTTAGTGCGCATCAAAATGTGTACCAGCTCACCAGCGATATTACCTATGTTTGAATAATAGAACCAAAGATACAAGCCATTAACAACTGAGGTGAACGTGGTTTCGTGTCAAAACATGCTGTGATAGATTCTATTTCTACCGAATACATTACATTACAGTACCGAAACAAAATACCGCGTTGCATTCAAGTAAGCGAAAGAAAGCGACATTGTAAAAATTATTAGACAACAGTTATCGAATGTAAGTTCTAAAGACCAATACAAGGCGCGTGACTAAGCTAGTCAAAACAAAGTCTTGATGGCCCTACCATTAATAATGCGATTTCATATGTATAGTTTCTAACCACAGTCCGGCGTGTTTTATATATTTTATCGCAATTTGAAGGATCATGAAGAAGAATGCCTCGAGAAACCACTGGTCTGCGAGGACTGTAAGGGTGAGATACTCAGGAAGGATGAGTCCAAGCATGCCTCCGAGTGCCCAATGCGTGCTGTGTGCTGCGAGAACTGTGATGGATTTTATCCCTACTCTTCAGAAAAGGTGAGGAATAATTCGCGATTGGTTCTACTACGGTACCTGGAACGCGTCTTCGACTGATGTGTTTAGGGACCTATCCCGCGCTGGTATCAAAAGGGGTCCCGAAGCGATAACAAATGACGTCAAAAAAGTCAAATTGTCTTGATATTGGATGTCGCGAGGCTGGCGTTTGGTGCTACAAGTCACGGCAAAAAGTACGTGTGAACGCGAGTGTCACTGTCGTCTTGGAGTCCCAACTCCAGGCTGCTAAAGCCTCCTTGCCACCGTCGATGTTGAAAGCGACATGCAGCAGAACAGGCGTCTGTCAGGTCCACAACCGCTGCTGTGACACCGCCAGGATCGCACCTGGCGACAATATAAAACTTCCGTGACGTCATCAGGCGGAACTGGACGGACTATTTTTAGGTGTCGGGAAACACTCTAGTCGGAGACACGGCCCATGTACCGTGCAGGTGTACTCTCGTGGACACCATTAGCTGTAACACAGCAGCGGCGGCCGTCCCGTACCCCCAGCGCCACATAGCAGGCACCGTCCGAAACTCCGCGAATACGCCGTGTAGCGGACTCGCTCTTCCCGCCTGCGAGCATACCCTCGCTTTATCGACTACTAGGCGAAGAGCAGACGACGCAACAGCGCTTGCCAGTGTTCGCTGAACACGGCTTCGTGGCGTATCTTGCGCTGTTGTGGATGATTCCCTGACTCGTCAAGACGTGTCTGCCAAACAGCCAGTGACTTTAACGGATAATGTAAGCTAGGTACGACAGTAGCGTAAATATATACTGACGGCTGTTGATGGGTTTTTTTGCTTCTTTCAAATGCTTCCCAATCTGCTTTCAAAATGCGGAATATTAAAGTAAGCCATCACACTGCATTAGATAAAGCAATTTATTTCTTTACATACATTTCTTTCAGTTAATAAAGTGTGGAAAGTGGAAAGGATTTGCTGCCTGGAGCAGCAACAAGCAGCCGGTCCTCTTCAACTGTCCTTTATTGAGAACGTGGCTTGCGTGCAGCGTCGCTTATCGGCCCATCGACCCTGTACGCTTGGATAATCCGGTTGACTCTAGGTAGCGGCCTGCCAGTCATTTCCGCGATCGCTCGCTGAGAATATGAGAATACTCTTTAAGGCACAGATCGACCATCAGCCGTCTCTGCTCGTCTGATATCCTCGCCAGATCGAACTAATCTCAAACTCATTTTCAACCGGCGATTTTTATTGGGGCAGATTGCAGAGTCATTGGGACATCAATCCTGTCTGCGTTTTTTGTTTTTGCTTTTCCAGAAACAGGCGTGCGAAATGCATTTTTAACAATATGCGTTCGCAGACCAGTATGATTGCAGCAGGTGTGATGCAGAAATAACTGTTATACTCCGTTTCACCTAAAATCCGAGCGCAGCGTACGCTACGAAACGACCGAGCCAGTCAAATAGCGGCAAAGGTGAAACGTGGCGGAGTGCACCACCGGGGTACCCAATCAGGTGCGAAAAGTGCGCTTTTGTCACTGCTTGGTTGGCCCTATCGTCTCGTAGTGTCCGTTGCGCTCGGACCTGAAGTTAAACTACCTGAAGTTAAACTACATAAAAAAAATTACATTTAGTGGCGATGATTATACTTAGCCAGCGGACACATATCCATGAGTCAGGAAATCAACCGTGGGCCGTCTTACGCGGTGGTTCGCTGAACCGTGTTCAGCGAAAATTGGCACGCGCTGTGGCGTCGTCTGCTCCCGCCAAGCAGACGACAAAGCGAAGGTGTGCTCGCAGGCGGGAAGAGCGAGTCCGCCACACGGCGTATTCGCGGAGTTTCGGACGGCGCCTGCTAAGTGGCGCTGGGGGTACAAGACGGCTAGAGTTCTTGTATAGCTACCTACGGTAGCAGAGTTGCGCATTCAGCCTCGGCGCGTGGCCGTAGCGCCGGCTTTTCCGCACGAGCTGGATGCTTTGCTCCTCACGTGACTAAATTTGGCGAATAGCAGCGCCGCGCGCGCCGCCGCGCATGGAAAACAGGAGAGGAGGAAAAGGAGGCGGAAAGCAGGGAAACATACGCCGGGGCAAGAGAAACGTCGGCGGAGCGACCGTAAAGGTGGCTTTCTTGCACGCCACCGGATGCTTTGCTCCTCACGTGATGGATCTCGTATGTTCTAATTAAAATAACTCGCGAAGTAATTTGATTCCCGAAATGCTCCCTTGGATTCTAAAACTAGACCAAGTCTGCTTTCATATGTGTGGGGTTAGAGTACTCTGAGGGTTGAACCCTAGGTGCCTGAGCGCTTCGCCTTTGCCCAAATTTTCGGACCACGCCCCCTTTTTGGCCGTTTTTGAAGGGAGAGAGAATGTTCTAATTAAAATAACTCGCGAAGTAATTCGATTCCCGAAATGCTCCCTTGGATGCTAAAACTAGACCAAGTCTGCGTTCATATGTGTGGGGTTAGAGTACTCTGAGGGTTGAACCCTAGGTGCCTGAGCGCTTCGCCTTTGCCCAAATTTTCGGACCACGCCCCCTTTTTGGCCGTTTTTGAAGGGAGAGAGTATGTTCTAATTAAAATAACTCGCGAAGTAATTCGATTCCCGAAATGCTCCCTTGGATTCTAAAACTAGACCAAGTCTACTTTCATATGTGTGGGGTTAGAGTACTCTGAGGGTTGAACCCTAGGTGCCTGAGCGTTTCGCCTTTGCACAAATTTTCGGACCACGCCCCCTTTTTGGCCGTTTTTGAAGGGAGAGAGTATGTTCTAATTAAAATAACTCGCGAAGTAATTTGATTCCCGAAATGCTCCCTTGGATTATAAAACTAGACCAAGTCTGCTTTCATATGTGTAAGGTTAGAGTACTCTGAGGGTTGAACCCTAGGTGCCTGAGCGCTTCGCCTTTGCCCAAATTTTCGGACCACGCCCCCTTTTTGGCCGTTTTTGAAAGGAGAGAGTATGTTCTAAATAACATAACTCCCGAAGTAATTCGATTCCCGAAATGCTCCCTTGGATTCTAAAACTGGTTGAAATCTGCTATCATAAGTCTGGAGTTAGAGTACTCGAAGGGTTGAACCCTAGGTGCCTCAGCGCGGCACCTTTGCCCAAATTTTCGGACCACGCCCCCTTTTTGGCCGTTTTTGAAGGGAGAGAGTATGTTCTAATTAAAATACCTCGCGAAGTAATTCGATTCCCGAAATGCTCCCTTGGATTCTAAAACAAGACCAAGTATGCTATCATATGAGTGGAGGTAGAGTACTCTGAGGTTTGAACCCTTGGTGCCTCAGCGCGGCGCCTTTGCCCATATTTTAGGACCACGCCCCCTTTTTGGCCGTTTTTGAAAGGAGAGAGTATGTTCTAATTAACATAACTCCCCAAGTAATTCGATTCCCGAAATGCTCCCTTGGATTCTAAAACTAGACCAAGTCTGCTATCATATGTCTGGAGTTAGTACTCTAAGGGTTGAACCCTAGGTGCCTCAGCGCGGCACCTTTGCCCAAATTTTCGGACCACGCCCCCTTTTTGGCCGTTTTTGAAGGGAGAGAGTATGTTCTAATTAAAATAACTCGCGAAGTTATTCGATTCCCCAAATGTCCCTTGGATTCTAAAACTAGACCAAGTCTGCTATCATAAGTCTGGAGTTAGAGTACTCTGAGGGTTGAACCCTAGGTGCCTGAGCGCGGCGCCCTTGCCCAAATTTTCACACCACGCCCCCTCTTTGGCCGTTTTTGAAGGGAGAGAGTATGGTCTAATCAAAAAATAACTCGCGAAATAATTCGATTCCCGAAATGCTCCCTTGGATTCTAAAACAAGACCAAGTCTGCTATGATATCTGTGGAGTTAGAGTACTCTGAGGGTTGAACCCTAGGTGCCTGAGCGCGGCGCCCTTGCCCAAATTTTCGGACCACGCCCCCTCTTTGGCCGTTTTTGAAGGGAGAGAGTATGGTCTAATCAAAAAATAACTCGCGAAGTAATTCGATTCCCGAAATGCTCCCTTGGATTCTAAAACTAGACCAAGTCTGCTATGATATCTGTGGAGTTAGAGTACTCTGAGGGTTGAACCCTAGGTGCCTGAGCGCGGCGCCCTTGCCCAAATTTTCGGACCACGCCCCCTCTTTGGCCGTTTTTGAAGGGAGAGAGTATGGTCTAATCAAAAAATAACTCGCGAAGTAATTCGATTCCCGAAATGCTCCCTTGGATTCTAAAACTAGACCAAGTCTGCTATGATATCTGTGGAGTTAGAGTACTCTGAGGGTTGAACCCTAGGTGCCTGAGCGCGGCGCCCTTGCCCAAATTTTCACACCACGCCCCCTCTTTGGCCGTTTTTGAAGGGAGAGAGTATGGTCTAATCAAAAAATAACTCGCGAAGTAATTCGATTCCCGAAATGCTCCCTTGGATTCTAAAACTAGACGAAGTCTGCTATGATATCTGTGGAGTTAGAGTACTCTGAGGGTTGAACCCTAGGTGCCTGAGCGCGACGCCTTTGCCCAAATTTTGAGACCACGCCCCCTCTTTGGCCGTTTTTGAAGGGAGAGAGTATGGTCTAATCAAAAAATAACTCGCGAAGTAATTCGATTCCCGAAATGCTCCCTTGGATTCTAAAACTAGACCAAGTCTGCTATGATATCTGTGGAGTTAGAGTACTCTGAGGGTTGAACCCTAGGTGCCTGAGCGCGGCACCTTTGCCCAAATTTTCGGACCACGCCCCCTTTTTGGCCGTTTTTGAAGGGAGAGAGTATGTTCTAATTAAAATAACTCGCGAAGTTATTCGATTCCCGAAATGCTATCTTGGATTCTAAAACTAGACCAAGTCTGCTATCATACGTTTGGAGTTAGAGTACTCTGAGGGTTGAACCCTAGGTGCCTGAGCGCGGCGCCTTTGCCCAAATTTTCGAAAAACGCCCCCTTTTTGGCCTTTTTTGAAGAAAGAGAGTATGTTCTAATTAAAATAACTCGCGAAGTAATTCGATTCCCGAAATGCTCCCTTGGATTCTAAAACTAGACCAAGTCTGCTATGATATGTGTGGGGTTAGAG